TGCAGCTGACCCCTCCCACCCCGGACACAAACTGTTTTAGACTCTCCCCTCTGGCAGGAGGCTGCGGTCCATCAGGACCAAAACCTCTCGCCACAAAAACAGTTTCTTCCCGTCTGCAACTAGCCTCATTAACAAGGCCCGGGTCCCCTACTGACACTCCCCCCTTGCAAATGATACAAATGTCTCTGCACATGTAAATACTGTTTCATCTCAGTTTATATATTTATATGTACATAATATTCTCTTCCGTTGCGTTACTTCTGCACAGCACAGACCCAGAATAATGCACATGTATATATCTGCAACGTTGTTCTTCCATTCCATATTTATATATTCCTACATTTATTTATGTTGACTGTATGTTTGTCTACATGTAGCACCTTATCACAAATTCCTCCTATGTGTAAAACACTACTTGACAATAAAGCTCCTTCTGATTCTGATTATTGACTCTGGAAAATGCAACAGAACTATAAAATTGTACAATGAAATAGTTTAAGAGAAAAAATAACCCTTTTCGTTTATTTTTCCCTTGATATTATATTATTTTCCAGTTTAACGATTACCGTGTCTGCACGGACAACTGGCATGCACATAACTCTGAAGAGAGCTTGCGGTCCAGTGGATTTCAGGTGTAAGAAAGGGAATTTGTGAGCAGATAATAACAAGGTAGAGAAGAAAGAGAGCCACATGTTTAATTATGGCTTTTTGTGGAGCTTTTCGTAACAGCTGCTCTAGAGTGATGTCAAAGTCACATCAGTTCCGATCCGAGTGTCCAGACTCAGGTCGCATTTAAAAAGATCCAATTTGGATGGGATTTGGACCACATATGAAGGTGGCCTAAAACTAAAACTGGAAAAGAGCCTTAATGAGGTCTCTTTTGTATGCTGGTACAAAACTATCCTCTCAGTGATCCCTGCTTCCATTCAGTTATTTGAGACAATTCAGTAAGGAGGCTTCAGTAACGCTATATATTGTTTAAATATGTAATTTCATGATACACTGGCCAACAAACATGTTTCAATTATAAAATAAATATGTGGGATTGAGAAGAAAAGTTATTATTATTTGTGTTGTTCCAACATGTGTGGGAGTCATTGTGCTAATTGAGAAATTATTTCTTATGCTATTTGTGCCGAGAACAGAGCAAATATAAATTTCTTTGATTATACTGGAGATGTAAGAAAACACACATTATTTCCGGAAGGGGCAATTAGAAATTTGTTGATAAAACACACATACACGCATATTTTTTCATCAGCAGTACGTGTTTATTTATTCTATTCAGATTTGATCACAGACAGTATAATACAGTGGAGTGAAGCCGTTGGGTGAGACAATGAGGAGATGAACATGGTGAAGGTCGGTGATTGGGATCAAACAAGCAGCGTTGCTTTTTGGAATTAAGGAGAACTTTCTAGAAATAGTTTAACTTTAAGGTGGTGTTTTAATGCAAACGTGGCCTCGGAGGTGTGACTTGCTGGGGAACTTGAAAGACAGAAAGGGATGAGTGAGAGACAAAAAGGGAAAGGAATTAAACATTGAAAGTAAAAACAAGACACAGCACAGGAGAGACATATATCGTGTGTGTGTGTGTGTGTGTGTGTGTGTGTGTGTCTGTGATTGACAGGATCAGAAGGATACAGTGGAATGTGACAGAGTTGGAGGATGGGGAGGAAGAGTTGGATAGAAAAATGAAGGGGCTCAAGGGAAAGCTGAAGGTGTTAACAAGAGAGGGTGAAAGAAACAGATGGAGAGAGAAAATTGTGTGAAAGAATTATAGAAACCTATTGACAGGTTGAGAGAGTGCTGATTAAGGGTCATTGATTGTTTACTTCTGAGTCTGTTTTCATTGGCTCTGCCTGTCAATCTCTTGAAGTTTGTCGTTATTTTTTCTTTGCTCCTCTTCTGCTTCTCTTTCTTTCATCAAGGCAAAAAATGCAAAAATGTCATGTGCAAATCAGGATTGGGCAATATGTTAAAATTGCCTTGTTAACTCATCATAAGACACTTTCATTCAAACTTGACAGAAACAAAACAAAATTCACCAAAACCAACTTGGTTAGATTTTCCACTGTTCAAATAATCATCAACTCTGGTTGGCAATGGACATGTATTTGTCCAATCGACCAACCATCGTGCAAATTCAATACTGTTTTTGAAGTAGTCAATACTGTTATTTCTAAGCAACAGTACATACGAGGAATAGGTTTGTAGTAATATTATGATTTGTGACACGCATTCAAGTTGTATGAAATGATGTTACACTTGATACAAACTGACTTTATGACACTTTAAAATGAAGTTATTTGATGGCCAAGTTAATTGAGTATTTTTTGAAGACACTAAAGCTGTCTCTCAATACCGAGTTCGCCAAGTTCGGACTTCTGTACTTGGAGGCTCAGACTTGGCAAGCTTGACTTGGGAGTAAAAACTTCCAGAGACGAGAGTACTCAGTCCGTCATTCTGCAATTAGAACTGTAGCACACTTGATGACGGCAGGTCTCGTTAGCAGACGGAATCACATCTCCGAAAATGTTGTGGCAAATTTTCAAATCAGCTGTATCTTGAGAAATCGACCACAAATTTAGAGTTAAAACAACTACTGTATATTCCCGCATAAAAAACTGCATTCCATGACACAATAACAGCAGCATTATAACTTACAATTGTGGGCCTTCTCCTCTGCCATTTCTGCTCGTTGGTGTGAAATGCATTCGGGCATACTTAGCTATCCAATGTCCACACAAGTCAGCACCGATGCATGCTCAGTAAAACAGGCTGTGCGAGAACACATCCGGATATTTAACTGTACTTGGTTAGATGCACACTTTATAATTGGAACAGTACTTGGGCTGCGATTGATGACGTTTCACAAGTCCACAAGATCACAAGTACAGACAAGAACGCAGATTGAGAAACAGCTAAAGATTAGTTGTACAGTAATAATTCATAGGAAAAAACCAATAATTAGAAGTATGTATGTATGTAATGTAAAAATAAATATTATTTTGTGTAGCACATTTTTTCCCTGCTACTTTCCTGTTAATTGTCCCCTCAGGTTTATCTAATGGCCCCTTTGGGCGTCCAGACCCCAAAGTTGGGAACTACTTTTATGTACTTAAATGTCCCGATAACCAAAAGAAATTTGTAAAAACATATTTTGCTGTAAACACACTAGAAACACACAGAGTCCCTGCTCACTCACTGTGAACATATGACACCATACATTCACACACACGCATCACACATACACATACTTGCACATATTTATTTGGTTACAGGCACAGTCTATCATGTAGTGGGATAGCCATCTAGAAATGCTTTCATTGTGATTTATGACCACAGCCCAGAGGCAGAGGGTTAAAATCAAAACGACAGAAAGAAAGAGAAAAAGAGGGACAGTTAAAGCAAAAATGGTGGCAGACAGAAGCCAGCTTACACACACACGCGCACACACACACACACACACACATACAAACACTTTGGGTCTCCAATCAGACTGAGGCTGGAAGGACTGCTGTAGGAGAAAATGAGTTTTGTTCTCTCGAGGCTCAGAAAGAAAGAAAGAAAGAAAGAAAGAAAGAAATGAGAATTTCCACTGGAAGAGCTGAGGATCATTGTTTTGCTTTAGGCCATGTTGGCAGTAGTTGTGAAAGGAGGAGAGAAGATTTGTCATTCACATCCACATCTCTCTCTTTCCTTTCCTCTGTTTATCTCTTTCTCACACACAAACGCACTGACTGTGCCATCTGTACTTTCTTGAGGAGCAGTAAACCCAAATTTTCCACCCCAAAATGCAAACTACAGCGACATGTCTCCACATTTTGTGTGTGTGTGTGTGTGTGTGTGTGTGTGTGTGTGTGTGTGTGTTGTGAAATTATTATATTCATCTTGCTGGTGTCTGACGGGGCATGGCTGCTGAGCTGCAGCCAAAATACTCCATTTGACCTAGATCATCTCAACACCCGGCTGTGTGTGTGTGTGTGTGTGTGTGCATAGTGTTTATGCCTATTTATCAGTGATATGATGCATTTTGGACATTGCCCATAATGATGTAAGAGCTCCCTCCCACATGTCCTCTGACTTTCTACTCATCATTCTGTTTGTGCCTCCTTTCACTGTATTTCTCCCTGCCTTGCTATTTCTGCTTCTCTGTCTCTCACTCTTATTCCCTGTTTTTCAGTTTCCCATTCTCTTCCTCCAAGGAAACTGGAGCACTCACCAAGTAAATGTCTTTGTGGTGTATGAAATAGTGTTTATTTGTTATGGCCCCTGTGCCTCAATCCTCAACCCAAGCAATTAATTTAATCCAATAACAGGCATGTCAGCAGTCCACTGCGCACACACACACACACACACACACACACACACACACACACACACACAGAGATGTGTATTGTAATTCCATTTCTATTAAGAAAGCTGACCCACTCACGTTTGCATCTCGGCACATTATAATTTCCATGTACTGTACATGCCCAGCTAATCAAATAATCATTGGCCCTGTAAAACCTTCACAGCTCCACATGGCTGATTAAACTCTAACCATAACCAGACAGCACACCTGCGAGAGGGTTCCTTTTAGACATAGAAACAGGGTATCTGAGCAAGTTTTGGCTAATGGGAGGCTTGTTTGAGCAGTTCAGATGGTCACTGAGTCGTCAGCCTCATTATTTCAACCTTCTTTTTTGATAGTAGAACCAAAAAATTACAAAGAAAATGTTCCCACATACTTACACCTAAATCTTCTTCCAAAATATTTAGAACTGGAAAACATCAAATGTCCAATTAAGTTCTCTAAATAGCTCTGGCAGCATAATCAGCATGGGTAATTCAGAATGATCAAATGATTCCACCGCAAATCCAGAAGAAACTATGCAAATTTTGTTTTGATTGCAAAACAGTGAAGCAGGTATATTCATTCTCACAGATAAATTGGCGGGGTCTTTGAGTTTGCTGAACATTTTCTACTTGTCTTTCCTTGTGTTTCTTTGCAGTGACGGATGGGCAGACCGGTATGATGTAACAGATGGCTTTGTTAGGGAAGCAGCCGGTGGTATTACCATCAAGCTCCAGTCGGCTGATGTGAAGTGGTTTGATGAGTACTACCTTAAACTTCGTCCTGAAAACAACTTCAGGAACCCCTGGTTTCCAGAGTTCTGGCAGCATCGTTTCCACTGTCGACTTAAAGGCCACCCACAGGAGAACAACAAATATAACCGCACCTGTAGCAGTGAGTACAGACACAAATAAATATGCACCAAAATACACTCACCGGCCACTTTATTAGGTTCCCCTGTTCAATTGCTTGTTAACACAAATAGCTAATCAGCCAATTTCATGGCAGCAACTCAATGCATTTCGGCAAGACAACTTGCTAAAGTTCAAACCGAGCATCAGAATGGGGAAGAAAGGGGATTTAAGTGACTTTGAACGTGGCATAGTTGTTGGTGCCAGACGGGCTGGTCTGAGTATTTCAGAAACTGCTGATCTACTGGGATTTTCATGCACAACCATCTCTAGGGTTTACAGAGAATGGTCCGAAAAAGAGAAAATATTCAGTGAGCGGCAGTTGTGTGGACAAAATCCCTTGTTGATGTCAGAGGTCAGAGGAGAATGGGCAGACTGGTTCAAGATGACAGAAGGGGAACAGTAACTCAAATAACCATCTCTGAACGCACAACACATTGACCACTGAAGCAGATGGGCTACAGCAGCAGAAGACCACACCGGGCCCCACTCCTGTCAGCTCAGAACAGGAAACTGAGGCTACAATTCACACAGGCTCACCAAATTGGACAACAGAAGATGGAAAAACGTTGCCTGGTCTGATGAGTCTCGATTTTAGCTGCGACATTCAGATGGTAGGGTCAGAATTTGGTGTAAACAACATGAAAGCATGAATCCATCCTGCCTTGGATCAACGGTTCAGGCTGGTGGCGGTGTAATGTGGGGGGGGTATTTTGTTGGCACACTTGGGCCCCTTAGTACCAACAGAGCATAGTTTAAATGTGACAGCATACCTGAGTATTGTTGCTGACCGTGTCCATCCCTTGATGACCACAGTGTACCATCTCCTGATGGCTACTTCCAGCAGGACAATGAACCGTGTCACAAAGCTCAAACTGGATTCTTGAACATGACAATGAGTTCACTGTTCTCCAATGGCCTCCACAGTCACCAGATCTCAATCCAATAGAGCACCTTTGGGATGAGGTGGAACGGGAGATTCGCATCATGGATGTGCAGCCGACAAATCTGCAGCAACTGCATGATGCTATCATGTCGATATGGAGAAAAGTCTCTGAGGTGTTTCCAACACCTTGTTGAAAGTATGCCACGAAGAATTAAGGTAGTTCTGAAGGCAAAAGGGGGTCTAAACCGGCACTAGCAAGGTGTACCTAATAAAGTGGCCAGTAAGTTTAGAATGCTCAGTAGCAAGAGCAATTTTACACTATTTCATGACAGAGTGATTAACAGCTACAGCTTTCAGTTTAATTGTTGTTGAAATCTTTTGAGACATATTGGTATAAGACCTGAAATGTACTTCTTGAACACCTGTAACAGCGAGTATGAACGGAGACAACACAGAGTTACAGCTGTACTGTACTTCTATTTTGACAATGACCATCTGGGGTGCAGAGAAAGAGAGAGAGGCTGCATTGTTTACAGTACCAATCTGCATTTTTTATTGACCGGCTTTCATAATGGCCACTATTAATGCAAATTCAAAACATGCAAACAGACTGGCTGAACACACATAACATACGGATACACACAGCTTTCCTGTTCATCTGGAGATATCCCTTGTGGCTGTGAGTGCACCCTCCCTTTATTTTATTTTTTTGTATTCATCTCCCTCCGTCTTTCTGTCTCTGTTTCATTCTCTCCATTCATACGCAAAACGGTGCGTGAGAGCTGCATCAAAGGGAGTCATGCCTCATGTATTCTAATGAAGTGGAACATGAAATACAAATGAACAGGACACAGAAAGAGGCAGAAAGAAATGAGATGTGGAGGTGGGAAGTGGCCGATGAGAAAAAATGAGCGGAAGGAGAGTGGTGTTTGATGTTAGGAAGAAAAGCATTCTGTGTGTCATAAAACTAGTTGGGAAATTAACATTTTCTGTGATATGCGCGCTTTCTCTTTCCACCCTTCCTCACCAACCCAATTCTCCCTCCCCCCGACTCTACCCACCCTCCTCTCTGCAGAACGAGAGTCGCTTCGGCAGCAGTATGCACAGGACACTAAGATGGGGTTTGTCATTAATGCCATCTACTCGATGGCATATGGCCTGCATAACATGCAACGGGCACTCTGCCCAGGCTATCAGGTTGGTACCACTCTGTTGGATGAATGGAGGGACATACTAGGATAAAGGACGTAGATGAAGGGGTGGAGAGTGGGAATGGTGGGACAAAAAGAAGCAGGGTATTGTTGACATATTCCACTTGATCTTGTTTAACTTATTGTCAAACTGCATACACTGGAGTTCAAAATGGAAACCTAGATGATTGCATATATTATATAAACATGACTTATTACAGTAATTATGTGCCAATTTATGAATTGAGATAGAAAGCTGAAATAGTTTTAGCTAAACCAGAAGTTTTAAAAATACAGAAGAAAATACATCATTGCTGCTCTTACAGATTTCAGCTCATATTAGTTTTAACATAGATTTCATCCTTGCAGACATGAAAACTGGAATGTAATATTTCAGACACAGGGCTTCAATTCTGATTAAACATAATGAGATGATTAATCTTGATCTTCACTGTGTGTGCCAGTGCTACAGTAATTGGCCTGAATGGGACAGTGGTGATAGAAAAGCAAAACCTACTGGACTGCACATTTAAATTTTCATGAAACTTGGGATGATGCACCTTGTTTGCTGGTGTTTTATTGCTTTAAGTTTATATGATGATAGTCCAACAGTACAGTAATCATGTTTTGAGGATAATTTACCATAATGAAGCTGTTCTAACGAAAGGAAAGTTTTTACTGTTTATATGCCATTGCGTTGTGTTCTTGACCACTGACTACCATTTCCAAAGTGACTTGTGTACACACAAAAATACTTCTATGAAACAATGTTTCTTAAGCTGTGGCTCAGGATTTTTGTTAGATATGTCATGACAAGTCCTGTTTGTGTATTTAAAGGGCCTGTGTGATGCGATGCGACCTATAGATGGTGCTACTCTCCTGGACTTCCTGATGAAACCAACTTCACAGGCGTGTCAGGGGAGGGAATCCTATTTGATGAGAACGGAGACTCACCTGGCAGGTACGCACTGTAACTGAACAAAGCTGTCATGGATTTCTTTTTGGTGTGGCCTTAATCTGTTGGATGTATACTGTATGTGTACCATCCATCAACAGGTATGAAATAATGAACTTCAAAAAGATGGGGAAGGACTACTATGACTACATTAATGTTGGCAGTTGGGACAATAGAGGCTTGAAGATAGATGATGATGAAATCTGGCCCAACAAAGATGCCATGATTAAGTCAGTCTGCAGTGAACCCTGTGACAAAGGACAGATTAAGGTAAGACGACTGGTACAGATTACATGAGGCAAGTAAAAGTACATTTTACACAAAATACATGAGTATTTTCCAGTCCAGTTTACATACTTTGGCAATTTTGGAAATCGTCACTCCACTATGGAGTGTTTACTTCACATGAGAAATTCCATTATATGTGCAATAGATTATAGGGATGGGTCACAATTTTCAAATTTTGGAATAGTGGTTAAATTATAAAAAATGTAATAGTTTGTGCACCTATTGTTATATAACTATCAATTAGGTTGTAGCCTAATAGTGGTTTGGTGTATTGTGTCCGCTGCTGTTGAGGAAATACAGTTGAAAACCACCACAACATCTCGCCACCATCCTCCTAATAATCTAGCGCACTCCTAACTTCAGGTTCGGGGTCACAAATCTTCAAAGACAAGTACACACAGACATTGTGCACTCTGTCCCTTCCAGGTGATTCGTAAAGGGGAGGTGAGCTGCTGCTGGACATGCACTCCCTGTAAAGAAAATGAGTTTGTGTTCGACGAGTACACCTGCCGAGCCTGTGAACTGGGCTCTTGGCCTACTGATGATCTGACAGGTCAGTCTCTGTTTGTTGTGTGTTTGTGTGCCTACATGCTAATTATAAAATTTATTTTATAAATATATTTATATTATTTGCAATCTCAGAGACATTTCTGACCATGACATCTGACCACGCTCCTGCATAAAAATCCTTTTAATATCAATCCTCAGCAGTGAGGCCACTCGAAGGAACCCATACAATGACCACAGATATGTGTGTGTGCATGTCTGTGTGTAGGGTCCTAGGATAAAGGATGTATAGTACAATGAGATATGTTGTATTTTCCCTGACACAGCGTGCCATTACAGCATATTATTATACAGTAAGTCCTGCACTAGATACATTAGAGAGAGAAACCGAGAGACAATCCCTCCGTTTCAACCTCCCCTCCTCTTTTCCTCTTTTACCCTCCCCCTCCCTCCCTTCCACTCCCTCTCTCTCATCCCTTTAATTTGTTATGAACATGGTCACCAATGTTTTAATTATTCTGCATCAAGAGAAGCTTTCAGTGCAAATACATTTCAGTTGCAATGCAAATGTATTTACCCTCCATTGCGTTGGAAGTGGTTGGATATTGTCTTGTTATGCTTTGAGCTGCTCATTATACTGCTTGCTAGCATGAATCAAACCCTGCTGAAAATTCAGATTGAGCTTGCCAGAGAGGGAAGCATCCTTAAACTAAAACAGGGTGCAAACTAGTGAGAAAATGACAAAGAGAAAGTTGACAGTGAAAAAAAGAGACCGATAAAGAATTTAAAGCATGATTGCGGTTATCCATGTATCACTTTGTGATAGTGCTGCATGTCCCCAGTGGGGCTATATGGAACATCAATAATGAGGTGTAAACAAACTGCTTGCCCTGTTCCTCCAGCAGACATTTTGATCTCTCTCCCTCAGGCCAAAAAAGGAGACAAAAAGTGTGAGAGATGAATAGAAGGAGAGGGAGAGGAAGAGGCAGAGGGAGTTGAAGTGGTAGAGGAAGGGCTCAGCAGGCAGGGACAGAGGTGCAGTGGGTGTGAAACCATAGAAAGCAATAGGAGAGTTTTGGACAGCAATAGAGCAAGAACAAGAAAATAGAGTGAGAGAAAAGTGACTTAAACATTAACAGAAGAAAAAAGAGTGAGAGAGAGAGAGAGCGACGAATAGAGGCTCTGACAGAAGCGGCAGCAAGGGAGAGTAAAAGTAGCAGAAAAAGGGAGGATTAGCTTTGGGATTTGAGCCTCTCCACTGATCGGTGAAGTTCCATAGTCTGAGTCTGAGAGTGTTTGAAGGAGTTTGCCTCAAAACTTTATATCGACTGAACCCTCCAAACGGCCCCCCTCCACTTAATGCACCAGTTTTGCTTAGGGTTAAACGCAACACAATTTCCTGCAGGTTCTGTGAACTAATTAAGTTTTAAAATGCCAACATAGCCAATGCTTTTTGACTGCTCTGAGAAAACCCATGAGGAAAACTCTGATCTAGGAATTTCGGCCTCGACATCTTGATGCATGTGGGGCAGGATTAATTGGAGTTAAATTTTCAGCAAGTGCCTTAGTTTCCTCCCTCCTTACATTTTCAACAGTGGGTGGTCCTCACCCCTCATGGCTAGTCAGGACAGTTACTCTACTCCCTCTCTTAAAAAGGGGCTACGCTAAAGCAGTAAAAAAAGCACCAAGTCTATGATTTTAAAAAGTTATATTTACATACAAGTAATTTCTAAGATCAGAAAAAAAGAGATTCAGATCTGCTATATTGTAGTGATGATGCTCCATTTTGGCTGATTTATGTATGGGTAATTTTTCTGTTTCTCTATTTATCTCTTTAAATACAATTATTGGACTGATTATTTTTACCCACACTGCATGATGTTCAATCCCTCACACTGCTTTAGATTATGATAATTGTAACTGAAATGACACGGCCTTTCAGTGAGTGAGCCTGCAAGTGAGCCACATCCTCTGCAGAATGCTTCCACCTGACTTATTTTCTGTTTGTTACCGTCCCCTTGGCTCCCGTTCAGCAATTAGGCTGCTGTTTATGCCCCTGGACCAAACCACATCACTGATTTGATCAACTTTATTGACCGTGTGAAAGACAGAGTCATTGAATTACTTAAGCCTTTTTTAATGACTGTTCTATCTCTTCCTCTCTCTGCGTTTTGCTGTACTGTACAAACAGGTGTATGTGCATCTGTGTCTGTGTGTCTATAAGGAAGAGAAACAGGTAAAGCAAGAGAGAAGGAATGAGAGATAGAACATTGGAGACAGAGGAAAAGAAAGACAAAAAGCAAGAAAGTTAAGATGTATAGGAACAGAATGTTTTAGAAAGAGCCTACATATATCCCTGCTGCCATAGTATGTCTAGACCAGCCAGCTGGATAATTTCAGCAAGCGTTAATTCAGATCGTAATTAGAACTGTCCCTCTAATTAATGACACTTTATCTCCTTGCCTGTGAGAGAGACAGAGATGGAGGAAGAAGGGAGAGATTAAGGATGAGGATGAAGAGAGATATGGGACATATTGGGGGGGGGGGAGGACAGAGTGATGAATGTGGAATTACAAAGAAAAAGAGACTGACAGGAAACAGATGCAAAGATTGAATGACATGGGTACAAGAAGAAGGGAAGAAATTGAAACACAGATGAAGGGTTAAGAAAGAAAGTGTGGACAAGTATGTATTGCAAGGATAAAAAGCCTGCAGTCTGATGTAAGTGGAAAGGTAGTGAAGAAAGAGAGATGTCATATCCTCACTTAGAGATGAAGGGGGCATGCTGAGTAATGACTACACTATTACTACTATAATATACTTCTCAGTCAGTTAATGGTTCAGACTTCCCCACCAGGACAACTGTGGCTCCAACCCTGGCCTGTGCAGGTTGTTGTTCACTGGGTCAAGCTTTTTACACTGATGTTCGTCCTGGATCAAAGCTTGATAGAGAAACAAGAGAAAAATGAAAGAGAGAGAACATAAAGAATAAAGATAAGGCTACAGTTAAATGTTTGGCAAACATATGGAAGTCTCATTATCTCAGTTGCTGGGCTTCACACTCATCTAATAAATGTCAATGATTTTTTTTTGTCACCAGGCTGTGATGCAATCCCAGTGGAGTATCTGCGGTGGGGAGACCCTGAACCCATTGCTGCTGTGGTCTTTGCCTGCCTCGGTCAAATGGCCACATTTTTTGTCACCGCAGTCTTCATCAGGTAACGAATCACTTATCACTCAGAAAATAAATGAACCGAAGAGAACAATACAAGTAGTGTTAGACTAGACAAAAGTATGCACCATAAATACCCACTTTGCACATTTCTACTATTTTCTTGTAGTTTTCACAAGTGTGTTTTTTTCTTATATACAGTAAACTGTAGGGTGTGTGTGTGTGTGTGTGTGTGTGTGTGTGTGTGTGTGTCTGCGTTTAGGTTTCGGGACACACCAGTAGTGAAATCTTCCAGTAGGGAGCTGTGCTACATAATACTGGCAGGGATCTGTCTGGGGTACCTGTGTACCTTCAGCCTCATAGCCAAACCCCATGTTATCCACTGCTACCTCCAACGACTGGGAATAGGTCTGTCACCTGCCATGAGCTACTCTGCGCTTGTCACCAAGGTAAGGACTGAGTTAAGGATTTGAGATGTAGGGTACAGCAGTTGTGAGAGGTGTAGGGCTAAAGGAGTTACCTCCACAGACATGGAATCTACTCCTTATCTGTTTACACTTTGTTAATGTATTACGTGCTTTATGAGTGAGTGATTTTACAATTTTTGTCTTTTTCTGCATTGTTTTAAGTGAGCTCACTAAGACACATTCCAATCAATCATGTTGACATGGCAATAAAGTATTGAATCTTGAATACCCCTGTCATTAGATCTATGCTAACCTCTCTTGGTCATCAATGGTCTGTGGGGAAGAGCCACAGAAAAGCTTCAGATACTGGAGAGTCAGCAGCAGGGATACATCTGTGGGTGGAAGCAGAACTGTAGACCTTATCAGAAAGAAACAGGGGAAAACACAGGTGCCGTAGTCCCTTCATACTGCAGTTTTTTTCTCTTCCATTTCTTAATGGTTAGAACGAGGGGATATGGGCACCATAACATTAGAGAGAGCCAAAAGTCTATCCTACCCATGAATGATGGCTGAGGGAACATGGAGGTAGGATTGAACAAAGGCAGGCAACAATAGCCTTCCTATAAGAAATCACATAGTTTCCAGTTTCCACACAAACTTTTTACTCCTGTGTGCAATATTTTTTTTTTTATCAAAGTTTTGTTCACTTGTCTACAGATGTCTACATAAGGACATTGGCAGCAGTGTAGAAATACAGAAAGCAGATGGCCAGAATATAGATACATTATGTTCAGTATAGCTTTTTAAAAGGTACTGATGGTGTTTGCGATCTGACCCTAGACAAACCGCATCGCTCGGATCCTGGCAGGCAGCAAGAAAAAGATCTGTACAAAGAAACCTCGCTTCATGTCTGCCTGTGCTCAGCTCATCATTGCCTTCCTCCTCATACTGCTGCAGCTGGGCATCATCGTAGCTCTCTTCCTCATGGAGCCACCTGAGGTAAGCTGTGAGTGTAGGTGTGTGTCTCAACAGGTATCAAACTGAAGCTCTACCAACACGCTTAGAGTTAAACAGTTCTCACAATTAAGCAGTTTAATGAATGGCAATGTTATTTTGTAAAAGTGTACTGCTTGCCCAATCTATTTTAATGCCACTGTTACATATCTGTAAACATAATTTTTAATGTTCTGGAAGAGAAAAGTGATGCTTGTAGTAGAAGCTTTTTCATGCCCTGGTTACTCCGCTGTCTTTATAGGTGATCCATGACTACCCCAGCATCCGCCAGGTCAACCTCATTTGCAACACCACTAACCTGGCCGTGGTTGCCCCGCTGGGATACAATGGTCTGCTCATCCTCAGCTGCACCTTCTATGCCTTCAAGGTACTAGCTTAAGTGTTTGTAACTACAACTGACAATATCACTAGTGAAAAGTCACCCAGACATAATGTGAAAAGCAATGATTGAACCACTGTTTGTGTTTGGTGCTCTACAACCTTTCAACAGGCGTAAATAAATTATATTACACCAAATACATTATAAAGTCAATGTTTGATTATCAGTGACCTGCAGCCATCCATGTTCTGTAGAGTGTGAGAGCAGAGTGGTAAATGGAGACAAAAGCTGAAATACACTGCAAGTCAAGCAAATACATTAAGCATGTTTACAAAGCAGAGAAAACCAGTACAACTCTGGTAGCGAATGGTTATGACCCCATCTTTAATGAGGTGCACTTTCTCTACCTTTAAGGCAGAATCTACAGAACAATTCAACTACAAATAAGAAATTAATCTACTTGCTTACACTTTCTCTCTCTCCAAGACCCGCAACGTCCCAGCTAATTTCAATGAGGCTAAGTACATTGCCTTTACCATGTACACCACCTGTATCATCTGGCTGGCCTTTGTACCCATCTACTTTGGTTCCAACTACAAAATTATCACCATGTGCTTCAGTGTCAGCCTCAGTGCCACTGTGGCTCTATGCTGCATGTTCGTACCCAAGGTAAGCCTGAGCCTAAAATCCACAGTTTCTACTCATTCACCTTTTAGATGAATATGTTTTTACATTTTTCAGACTCCCTAAACATAAAGTTTCTGCTTTAAGCTCCTTTAAATAAAATTTTCAAGTGTCCATTAATAGTGTATATTAGGGAACTTCAAACATGCCGCAGTTGTAATCGTTCTAAATCAGTGCACAGGGTATATTAAACTTCAGGTAACCATAGCAGCAGTATTACTACTTTTATGCTACATTACCAGTTAATTACTACTGTCGAAACAGACCAAGATGACAATTTCTTGTATGTGGTAGGCATCCAAGTTATGACCTCAGTAATACACGCTGATGTCTTCTGATCTTTTAAGTAATTAAGTAAAATCGTTATTATTTATAGAAAAGCAGTTCACTTCCTACAGTACATGTGAATATTTACGTCATCCTTCCTCAACTTCCTTTTTTCACTTGTGCATGCAAGAACTTAAATGTGATGATAAAGTACCCCAAAACATTAGTTGCTTGCGACCATATCTACCGATGCACAGGCAGAGTAAACACCATGTAATTGAAAGTAAGTGCAAGTTAAGTTTTTGAATAAATAAATAGAAACTTGAAATTAAATTTTAACCAAATGCCTGCATTGATGTGAAAAAGGTCATTTAAAATATTATCATGCATCGTGTTTTCTCCCACTTGTAATAGCAAGACATCCCTGTGGTGCCTCAAGGAGAAACTATAAAAACATTTCAATAAATATTGTTTCTTTGAGAATTGTATATTTATTGCAGTTTCACATTTAAGGTCAGTCATAACAGCCTTCATCACTCATCACTCTAAAAAGAACATTTGTTAGAAGACAGATTTGTGTAAACAGTCGGCATCAAATTATTTCCAACAACAGACGCAGTTATGAAGGTCTTCATTTTTTTTAATGGTCTTCTTTAAGAACTTAAATAACATTATGTTTTATTTCATATCAGGTGTACATCATTCTAGCAAAACCAGAGCGTAACGTGCGCAGTGCCTTTACCACTAGCACAGTAGTGCGCATGCACGTGGGTGACGGCAAATCTTCCTCAGCCGCCAGCCGTTCTTCTAGTCTGGTTAATCTGTGGAAACGCAGAGGCTCTACTGGAGAGACACTCAGGTACATATGTGTGTGTGTGCATGTGTGTGTATACACTAGAGGCTTATTGGCCAGGTTAATGCCAGGTTACTCCTCAGTTAGAGTCCAAGGCACCATTTCTGTAATGACACTGCTCTGAGACTATTTATAGTGTGTGTGTGTGTGTGTGTGAGAGAGAGAGAGAGAAAGAGAGATTGATTCTCTGAACTCTCCTGAGTCTGCTTGACTGTTCTTCTGACCCTAACATGAACTGCAGACAATTGCCTAATGATGACATGGCAAAGAAGGAGAGAGAGGAGTGAACCGAGGAAGGGAGGGTAAGGAGAAATTCGGAAAGAGAAATCTGATGACAGGGATGGAAGGGGGTGGAAGGAATGGACAGAGAGATGCCAAACAGAAGTGGTGCAAAAGAAAGAGAAGAAAAGTCTAGATACGGAATAGTTTGAAAAGAAAGACGTAATAACTTTCACAGCCAGCTTAAGGCCATCTACAAGTCATCTACAGTGACAAGTAACCGATCAAAGGACACAAAGGGAGTGACGCACAGCTACTTGCCCAGAATGAAAGGGGAGAAAAAAGACAAGAACACATTTTCGTTTGTCAGCAGGTTACTTCAGCTCACCCCGCTTGGCAAGCAAGATTTCAATCATGCTCTTACAAGAAGCGTCAGGAGTGTTTCCATCTTTTATTGCTCTCTTCCTCTGTTCTGCTTTTATTCCTCTCTTCCCCTCTCCATCTCTTCTGGTCCTATCTTCCTCTGTGGGTGGTGGTAATTGGCAGGGCTGTCTATCTCCTCAGTGCGGGGCTGGAAGCAGTTCCCTTTTGAGATGCTGTCATTGTGTAGTCTGAACAGATGCAGACAGACATGAAACCAGCAGACCAAGTGGTGGTGGTGGGGGGGGGGTATTTAAAGAAATAAAATGACTGTTGTTTGAATAAAATGTTTGAGCTACTTAAGAGTGCATGGTTTTCCTCAACAGATCAGTCAGTCAGACTCAGTGCTGGATACGATATAAGATAAGATCAATTAAGCACTACTTTATTTTGTGCAACATGTGTTTCAGTTAGTAGCAGGTCTGGTCTGGTCCTACCTTGCTCCAAAGCCTTCTGTAAGAGACTATGGGATCAAATGAGTAGATCACAGCACAGTGAATGTGTGCGTTTTACGTGTGTGTGTGTCTCCAGGGTGATTTGAGTTCTTTTCAACCCTTGTCACAGTGGTGTGAGGTTTAATCAGAAGTTCCACTATAGATTAATCACACTAATTAACCTGACAAAAGGATGAGAGGAAGAAAATGGGGAGGGGGGCAGGGGACAGACTGCTGTGACTGATGAGAAAACTGAAAAAAAAAATTAAAAGATAGAGAGAGAAATAGCAATGGAGAGAACCTGACAAAGAAAAATGAATGGAGACCATGCTGTCGGGAAAAATAGAACAGAAAATTAATTGTAATGAAATTACACTGCATATGATGTCCAACTGATTTTCTGTGGTTGAATCAAGGCTCCATTTGAAAATGTTTGTATCTATTAAATGACATTACTCATCTAGGATAATAAATTGGAACTAAGATAGAGCAGGCACAGTTTATCTAATGTTTTTTTTTTTCAGTGTTTTGGCTCACAATGCAAATTTACTACTAATGGGTGCTTTTAGATTTAATCCACAAAATACATTTAATTGCCTTGTCTATCCTTTGCAACATTAGTATGTCATTCATGTAGAAAGATCGTCTTTAATACATACTTAAACAAGGAGATGTTGGAGTCTGCAGTTGGAAGAAGTGAAAGAAATGTTCAGCGCTTCTTTTTTCGGGACCTAAACACAAATCAATTCACTTTTTGCCCCTTTCTAAATTAAAAATAAAGAAAAAAAAATTTTTGTAACTCTTTGTAAATTTATATAACCATTAATTGGAAATGCAGTTTGTTTTTGGAAAAACCAATTAAATTAGTTTTTCCACATCAAATTAGCTAATAAATGAAAGGTGGCAAATCTACTTCCAACCATTAAAAACAGCCCCTTATTTCTTTTCTCTTTTTCCTTCCGTGTCCTTCCTGTTCTCCAGCTCCAACGGTAAATCAGTGTCTTGGGCGCAGACGGAGCGCAGTGGCTCACGTGGCAACCACCTGTGGCAGCGGCTATCCTTCCATATCAAGAAGAAGGAGAACAATCAGACTGCGGTCATCAAGCCCTTCTCGAAAACGTCAGAGGAGCGTTACTGTGGAGGGGGGGACCTGCCCCCACATGTCCCTCTGCCCTCCCTCCCCTCTATGTCCTCCCTGCCCAGTCATCCTGACACTGTCACAGACAAGACCCTGTACGAGCTCTCCGAAGCAGAGGAGCGCTACTCCATCACATACCGACCACAGACGCCCTCGCCAATCAGCACGGTTAGTCAGAGGCTAGGGGTGGGTTTTGGGGAGGAGCCTCCGATGACTGGTATTTCACAGTACCAGAGCAGCATCTGCAGTGGCGGCAGCGGCAGCAGCTGTGGTCCTTCCAGCAGCGGCTCTATCGTCGCTGGGAGTGACGGCCGTTTGATTACTGTGGACGATCACCCGGGAGAGCCCCAGAGCTCACTGATGGATCAGATCAGCTGTGTGGTAAACCGCTTCACCGCCAACATCACTGAGCTCAACAGCATGATGTTGTCCCCCTCTCCGACGCACTCACACACGCACAAACACACACCTCCTTCTCCTCACCCCACCGACCCATATCTGCTACCCCGTGAAATCCAGATGCCCCCGACCCTCACCACCTACGCCGACGTCCAGCCCCTCCCACCTGTCGAGTCCAGCTTGGGGGGCCGAGGTGGGTGTCTTGCACACCCTATTCCTCATTCACCTTACCCCCTGCCGCCTCTTCACCCCCAGACCTCCCCCTCTCTCTCCCCCATGCGAGGAGGCCTGATCACCTGCCTCACCGACTCTCCTCTGAGGAGGGCGGAGTTGGATGAGGAGCTCATTGCTTTGACTCCACCGTCGCCTTTCCGCGATTCCTTGGCATCTAGCAGTGGCTCAGCTATCTCAGAGATAGACCTGTGTCTCCCCCCAGTTCCCTCCCATCCTCCTCCCTCTCCCCCTTCGCCCAGGTACAGCAGACTGACACTCAGAAACTACAGCCAGAGTTCATCCTCACTGTGAGACAGAGACAACAAGTAAAGAAAATGCAGAAGTGAAGAGGAGCACTCAACAGCAACGGTCAACATGAGAAAAGAGTAAGGGAAGATGGAAGTACAGAAATCCATTTGTCCCTACGTGGAGCAAAAACCTGAAGTAAAGGAGTCGTGGAAGACTGGTTGGTGAAGACACCAAGCTGCAACAGTTGGCTGTGTTTGTGTTTACATGTTTGCAGTGGGATGCAAGTATAACACACTTGCCCACGTTGTATTTTCTTAGTGCTGTTTGTCACAAGTGGGGTGTGAAGAACTGCAAAAATGGCCACTATAACTTGGCAGTGCTTTGGTGTCTGTAAAGCCTGAAATCATTCTCGAAGGTCTAGATCAATGTGCATTTAGGTTTGGGTAGTGGCCTTAAGAAAAAATGGCTATCAACTAATTAGAGATTGTAAATGTGTGCGTATGAGTATGTTTTTGTTTCTGTATCTTAGTTAATGAGAGGTAAATGGCAACATGACAGCAGTATTGATGAGGCGAGACTCCTTAAGCCTGTACGGACTAAACACTAAACAGAGGCTATCAAGGGCACACATATATATATATATATATATATGATCATACACACTCACAGTCACACAAACAAATACAATGTAAGGAAAAACACTGTAAATATATGAGAAGTTATGGATTTTGTCTTTGATCAAGTCCAACATGCTTCTGACAAAAGTGCATTGTGTTAACATACCAGGCTGTATGTTACTCTGAAGATTTTTCTCACAAAAAGCATCTTTTTATTCATTCAGCTCTCTGATCTGTCCGCTCCACATAGCTTTGTTTTCCTCAGTCCCTCTTTCTCTTGCTGCTTTCTTTTATCCTGCCAGTATTTCAGTATTTTCTACTCTTCTGGTTTGTTTTCTTCAGAAGTTTGAATGTATGTTTTCTACATGATTGCTGAAGTAGTTGGGACCAAACGATTTTTACCTCTGCGACTCGAGAAAGAGGGAGAGGAGGGATTGACTAGACCGGGCCTTGTTTTATCCTGAACATCTTAGTCATTAAATGTTCAGGTGGACTACTTTCAGAAAACTGACCCCAAAGCTTTTTTCTAGTTTGTGAAATTTCATACATTCCATACAATGTGTCAGCAGGACACAAGTGTTGCACTCTTTCATCAAAGGCAGTCCTTTGAATGAGATTAAGGCCCCATCCACATTACTGCGTTTTCATTTTAACATGGAGACAATTTGCCAGGTTTGCACCTCCCATCCAGACTAAAATGGCGAAAATGAAGACCTAAAACAGAGAAGTTTGAAAACGCTGCCGACCCTATTTTTTGTTTTGAAAGAGCGTTGTAGTGCACGCTGTTTTCCGCCATCACAGTCACTTTTAACTTCCGTGTTACAATCAGTAACAGTCAGCTCATTATTGGTGCATGCAAAATAAAATCTGGTATAGTTCTTTGTCTGTAGTACTTTATTCTTTCGCCAAATCTTCTGTAACTACAGAATAGACCATCTGCTTCATGTTTACACCGACATGCACATGTCCAGTGTACATGAACGACCACTAGATGTGCATTTTCAGTCGTTTTAGTATAGACAGAGATCAACTCTGATACGCAGCCAAAATGCTGGTGTGGGTGGAGATCGTATTCGTTTTAATTGTCCGTTTTTAAACTAAAACGGACTAATGTAGATGGGACCTTAGTGGGCACAGATTGATAGATTCAAACAGGGAGAGAGAGCCTCCTCCTCCTCGGCTTCTGCCAGGGTCGTCTGTTGCAGAGGTGCGAAGACCCTTTTGAACTTCTTCACTCTTTTGTTACAAAGAGAGGCAGAACAGCAAAAGAGGTGAGATGAGACTGGTCTTGATCTTCTAATCTAAAAAAGCGATTCAGTAAATTTCCAAAATGTCAATCAATTGCTTTAAAGTGAGGTCTCATGAGACTAATATAAATTGTCATGGAAAATGTTGCAAGTGAATGTAGTCCAGGTGGTAATTACATTATCTCTAAAAGGTATTTGGCAATATTAGTATATCTTTGCTTTTGGTAGGAGACAGGGTTTGGTTTATATGGCGAGAATTACGGTTTGATATTAGCGTAAAGGTCAACCTCAATACAATATGTTTATGCATCTTAATATTCCATTCATAAATGTTGAGGTGATGGGTAAACAGAACAAAAAACACTAAAATATCTCATTTGGATGTTTCAGATTTTCATAAAAACATATGCCTTTAAATGGAAAATTGTACTTACACATGCCAACACTGTAAGTACTCATGCCTACTCACAGAATTTGAGTGAGTACCCAGAGTAGTACTGGGATATAAAATGTGCCGATGAATGCATTCACTAAGATGCTTTTGAGAAATGGGGTCTTGGCTTTTGTCAGCTCCCTCCACAGAGAAAAACACTCATAAACAACAAGAGTCAGAAGGTTGTGATACACAAACATTTTTAGATATTTTGTATGAGGCATGTTCTCTGCATCAAAGACATTGATTGGTATATCTGACTTAATTTAAGATAATTGGACTGTTGGTATCACAACACAAAAAAAAAAATCAATACTTTAAAACAACCCCTGTGTATTATTGTAAATCATGATATTTTCCGCAGCATATGCGTTCATCTGCTGTCCTGGCTGACTGATCCAGATGTGATCCGTGGTCTGATTTCCTCGTGAGTGTAGTATTTCTGCTCTACAGTAGCCAGCAAGAACAAACTCAGACAAAGTGATTCTGTAAATAATAAGGGCATGCAAAGACCGTTCTTTTTTTGTTTCAGATGAAAGTAAATTTATTTACATATCAACAAAGGTGAAAAAAGGAAAAAAAGATGTTTTTGAACTATGTTATAACATCATACAGTACCAATATGTGTTACGACTACAGAAACTGTGTTACTACTCTGAATGTGTGAGTGACCATTCCTATTCAAATGTCTTGTAATTCAACAGTATAATAATAATTAATATGAATATGATTATTGTGCCAAAGGGGTTAGGGAGAGTCTAGCTTACTAGCTCGTGGGTAAATACGTGGTTTCATAAAAAAAAAAAAAAAAAAAAAAATGTAAATGTAAAACTGTTTCTATTGTTTTGGATATTTTCTATATATTCCACATTTTCCAGTGTAAAAGCAATATTATCCATATGTATACAAGTTGCACATCATGGGGTTTTTCTGAAATCCTAAACAACGTTTTAGATTGTTGTTCTTTTTCATACTTATGTAATCTCTGGTGGAGAATTCAACAGGGAAGATGGTGGGTGGATAAGTTGACATTTTTCTTTGCATTCTTCTCTTAATCTTTATGTAAGGTACGACTCCCTACTTTTGTTGTTATCTTCTCACATATTTCACTTTTATCCACCATGAATTTCTGGTTCACTCTCTGATCTAAACTTTTAGTTTGTGTGCCATTAATTGTTGTTTACTCTTTTGCTGTTTATCAAGACGTGTGCCGGTTAATTAGGATACAAACCTGAATTGGTGTAGCTATAGTATGAATATAAACTTTTTCTTGGGTCCCAAATGGGAAAAACTATGTGATCAGCTTACTAAGTGATCAATCAACATCTGAGATAATTGTACAAAGACATCACTTACAGTATGATAGAGAGAGAAATTGACACCAAAAAAAAAAAAGCATGTAACGAGAACTGTTGGTCATACTTGTTGACATAATTGGTTCCTGTCTCAAACTGCTGTCTGAATCATTACCTCTACATCTGCTTATCTAATTTTAACAGTCTGGACCCTGAATTGTTGTTAAAAGAATTAACCAGTGCCATTGCTAAGATGTTACTGGGGAGGAGCTGGTTTATGTGCTGCTATCACTGACAGTGTTTACAATATGCTGAGAGAGTAACAGGGCGCTTGCTTCAGCACTTCAGCAGCATGTTAACAGCACCCCTGGGTGAGGCTCGACAGTTGTGTGCTACCGCTGCAGAAAAAGACAGGATCAGCACTTACATCTACTGCTATCTTATTCTCTTTTAAGGCCTCTGTTAGTGGTATCGATTTATATTAAAATGAGTCATTAAAAAGGATAGTTAGAAGAGTGCAGCAGGCTTATTACGAAACTGCAAGAAAAGTGAGGCAGAGAATCATGGCCTCATATATTTGGCATAAAAAGTAATGCAGGTATTGAGTTGTAAGTCCGATATAAAATCACTGAACCACAAGGATATGAAAATGAATCTGTCCTCTATTGTAACATCTTGACAAATCTTGTGTTTGGATCCAATCTCTTCAGTTCTCAAGGGATATTTACACCTGGTGAATTTGGGCGTTTCTAACATTTTCCATGACAAATGCGTAGTATCGCCCCTTTATGGAAATAAAAAGTTGAGCTTCAGTAGTAATGCAGACAGGACATTTTGATGACAAACTGTGAGCTTTCTGCACTAATACTGTTGCACCACATTTTAGCCCTGCCTCAAGGATCATAAAAATCACTCACATTAATCTGGGGTGATCTCAGTTAGGGATATTTCCGCCTCGTATTTTAGCCAAAAAAATGATGATGATAATGAGAAAAGTCTTATGCTTGCCTGGAAGATGATCTCCTGATGATGTCTACCCAAAATGCTGTTGGCTGACTTACTTTTGTAAATGCACTCTAAAGAATTGGATTGATAATCCCTGCGCTCAAAAATACTTTTAATCCAGACATGCTCATCTGCTGATCAGAAGGAGAAAAAAAAGAGACAAGGTCATTTATTTTATACTTTATGACTGAAAATTGTCACTGTTTCACTGGTTGTCTCTCAATCCTTAAACCCTGGTTCAGAGCCAGATATCCGTAATTATGGGCCTGTCACATGTTTCCTTCTAGTGTTCTTTATAATATATTTTTTAAAAGCCTTGGTTTCGGGGTGCAATATCATTTAATTTTGGATTGCAAGAATCAGCATCTGTAGGCAGATTAGTAATGTACTGATGAGGTAGACAGTTTTTCAGAAGAAGGACCTAGGAGGATCACAAAAACCCGATTTAGGGCTTTATCAGTCTGACTGGCAGTGCTGTGTGATGGAGCAGCCTCTCCCACTGTCCTGCCTGATTATTTGTTTGATTTGATACAGAAAACAGAACTATGTTTACTGTGTAAACACCGCATAGACAAATGGTTGTACACGCTGTCAGGGCAGGCTGGAAGAAGTTTGTTTTGTCAGGCCACTGTCTCACATAATTCAATCAAGTCAAGATGAACACCTTGTTGTGAGTGCAGTTTGGTGGATATCACAAATAGTTTCTTGCCTTTTAACAGCGATAATGAAATGAGTAAATCACAAGATGTTTATGCGAAGTAAGAACAAAAGTGTTGGGTGGGGCTGGGTATTGAAATTCTTGTTTACACTGAGGCTGAGATCAACGGGCCCCTCTTTCCTCTATCTGCAAAGCAGTAAATTCCTTCACAGTTGTGTTGATTTAGTTCAGTTGTTGATTCAGTTGTTTCTAGCACACTAATCAAAAGAAACTAGTAAGGATGCAAGCTTAATGATACCCATTCCTAAGAGTAAATGCCTCATGAAATTTTGCAGAACTTGGTTATTTAAGAGTTAGGCTGATTTTTTTTATTTTACAGCAAAAAAATCAATATGGGAAAATTCAAAAGAAGTATCGTTAGAAGCCGGTATTGATAATTGTACAAGGATACTGAGTCCTACTGTTGATAATGGTGCAGTCTTTAAAGGACGGAACAACTCGATGTCTTAAAAATCATCAACAGTATTTTTGCAAGTTTGTCGGAAGCTGCTGATTTGAATGTTGCTTTTTATAACTTAGTAAAGAACATGTGTCTTTTAATATGTGATTGTTTCCTCAGCCAATGTGGTTAAATAACTTATTTTAGGCAGTCGGTGTAGGTTAAATAGGGCAGAGGAGATGGAGTTGCGTTATAAGTCAGCCCTTAAGAAATTAGCTACTGTGTTATATTGATTAGTAAGAGAGGAGTTTGTGTATGTGCTTATTTGGCTTCAGGATTTATGAGAAAGTGGAATAGTCTATCAAGCAGGTCTGTGTGTGTCTTTAGGGGATAATATTGTTTTGTATACAGAGCAGGCAAGTTGCCGAATTGTGTATTGATGGTTTGTAAAAAAATATTTAGTTAAACCAACTCATCCCATGTTTCAATTTATAAGAGAGTTAAACCAAACTGAGGTGTGACATTTCACCATATAACAGAGGTATTTTTGCAGGGCATGATGGGATCAAAGAAACACCATTGTGGCTGATATTTCGATATTGTTTTATGCTGCGTGCTTTTTATATTCTTCATAGACCATCTTGTTGGGATTACTGCTGTGGACACAAACACAAGCACAATCCCCCATTAAAACCCCCTCCTTAAAATTCTGACAGATTCTATTTTCAGTACAGTGTTTGAGGTATCAATAAGTAAATGATGACGTGGTGTTTACATTCTTACTGATCACTTGAGATAATCAAGATGATCATGTTTAATTACTGACTTCGGGTTGTGACATTTTACGAGCTTGTAAGCAAACATAGGTCTTTTTGCGTTCTTCAGCAACACTGAGGTGGATGATCTGAGCACAGAACAAATTTCTCTTATTCTCAACTAAGGCATCTGCATAAAAATAAAGGTGTTGTTATGTTCCAATTTTTTTACAACCCAGATTTAACAAAACCTTAATTCAACCATTCTCATTCGAGCAGCTAGTTTGGGGTTCGTTTTGAAAATGATGATGGGTTAGCATAAACGTAATTAAAGGGAAGTGGAATGAGCTGAATTCCCTATACTCAGTGTAGAATCTAATATATTTTTTCTATATTCATTTACAACTAGAAAGTGACTATTATGGAAATGGAAATGTATGATAAATGTATTCTAGTTATTTATTTTAAAAAATAACAGCAAAGTCGGGCTTAGATTGCAGTGTATCCCTAGACTCCAGTGGTGTTTAATCACGGCGTTGTTAACATAAGCGCCTCCACTCAGTGCCAACTTTCACTCATCTTTTTATTTCAAGTGCTACTGCATTTTTTTTAGCTCGGGTGGATAAACACTGCAGAAATATGAATAAACTGGAATTATATCGACATGCTCATCTGTGGAGAAAATTTCTAATTATATATTTTTTTCATAAACTGTTCCAATATTTTGTAAATGTGATAAAGATGGTTTTAATTCCATCATTTTCTAAAGGAAGCCTTGTAGTGTTTATCCACCCTCGGGATAGTTGGTAATTACTTTTAATGAACATGACTTTTAAAGCATTGTTGTTATGTTTTTGCTTCCCCCCTCCCCTCTGATGTTCAGAACTTCAGAATGTACTTTGATGCTTTATATTGATGTGATAATGGCAGACGGTTTTATATTTGGATATTTGATTCTTTATTTAATATTTTCACACAGCTTTGTGAAGTGTGCATTGTAAGAACATAGCTGGAAAATACAGCGTGTTTCTTAGTGGCTTTTTAGTTGGGTGAGTTGATGATTGGTGAGGTGGCAGGTTGTAGACTTCTACTTCAGATTTTTATGTTCGATTTTACTGATTTTCCCCACAAATAAGCTTTAGACTTCCATCAGCCATTAAACAATAAGATACCATGGTTTATTCCCTGAAAGGGTTGATATCTAAATGAATTGCCTTCAGATTGTGCTGGGCCACATTGTTTGTCACTGACACTGAGGCCTCGTTCACATGCTTTTTGGAGGCTCCCTACAGACCTGTCAGTAAGAACAAGAGCAGTTTTGGCCAAAAAGAGTTCTTCTCATCCCCCAGTTAATGAATCTTTATCTCCTCACTCCAAATTGGCCCGCTGTGATGCCTGTGAAGCTCGTCTCTGGGCTGATCTGTGGCCATTGGGAACAGAAATTGGAGAGTGGGCAGTGTTATGTTTCCTGTACCTTAATATAACTACACCATGTATTTGTTTATCAGAGGACACAAGAAATGAGGAGTAGGGAGCTTTTTATAAAAGCCTGGAGCCAAAGGTTCACATAATTATAGAAAGTGTTTTATCTAACATTGGATGATTAAAGTACTATTTTATGAAATTCCTAAATCCCATCAACTCTGGCACAATTGTGGGTACACCTATCCATAAATATGTTCATTTTGTAGGTGATTGGTGTTTTCAGAGGGGATGATCAAAGTTAGCAAATTGGACCGTGCATGCATAATAGTTTGACCGAAAGCGTCAGCTGGCAAACAGAAAATGCAAAAAAGTTTAAATATAAAACAACTTTTCATATGATTGATGTGTATCCCATTTGGCAACAAAATGATTCCTCTGTCCTGTGTACATTTCATCCTTAGCTTTTCTCCATCTGTCATAAATGGGAGGAGCTGTTGAACAAAGAAGAGATGCAAGGCAGGAAGTGCAGCTGCATTAATGGGATCTGAGAAGAACCACTTTTCTGCAGAAACACCGTTATACCGCAGCACTTTGGCATTAACAGCTGGATTTTTAAAAGTCACCATAGTTTGACTCGCTGCAGTCAAACGCCCACCCACTGAGCACCAAGAAAGAGCTAGAGTAGCCTTCTTAAAATGAAAAAAAGAAAAGTCACAGTGCATTCATTAACTCATTAACTTGCAGCTCTTTATGATGGCATGGTTCTCTTTGTGTTTTTTCTTACTGGGATGTAACGCAACAACTCTGGAACCCTCCAGTCAGTGTGAACACCATGCAGCAGTGCTGTTGAGTCAGACAGGCAATGGGATATGGTGTTGGGGGGGAAACTTACAAAGAGAGGGTTATGCTTTATGTTGTTTTTTTTTGCCATTGATAAAACATTGTGTAAGTGTACTACAGAGTACCTCTGAGTCATTATTGAAATCATTATTAAAAAAACTATGATTGACACCCTTGTCTTTTCCATCTTTTTACTGATTCATTATATAATAAGAAGGTTATAACCTTTTTGACACACACCCTTAGCACTAAGATGCAGTATAAAGAACAAACAGTCAACCCATCTTTGACTTTGCACACCAGGGTTTTAATCCTGGGTCAAAAACATCTGGTCACTCAGTCTATCCACATCATAACTAAATCAGACAGACACTGTAAATATTCGTATCAAACAGGGTTGTTTAATATTTATTGATTAAAAGTGGTTTCTGCTACATTAACACTGGAAATTCAACATGGCTTCTCTTTTCTTCCCTGGAACATATTTGTTTTACGATCGCATTCAAAAGACAGCTGAGAATGGATGACATTTACAGCTGAGGGGGCAGAAAGTAGTTGCCAATATCTCCTATAGGGTAAAAATTATCTCTAAGTAATTATATGTTTTATAGAAATGTGAAGTAAAGCAATGTTTGACCTGGCAAATTCAGCTTTATTCTGCCTTGATCTGAAATGATGAATCCCAGTAAAACAATAAATGTTTTTTTTGTTGGCTAAAAACATTTGTATAAACTTCAAAACTTCAGATTCTGACCTTCTTAAGAGGCCAATTAAATAACATTTTTGGTCACTGTCTTTATAAAAATGTTGTGTTTGAATTTAATGAGTTCCTCGCAGTGAGATTTTCATTTTTTAGTACACTTACCACTGCAGCAAGCATTGTGCAAACGTTGGCACATAATCGGTGGAAATGAAACATAGACCACACGGTTCAAGTTTGGAGAAAGAAAGGTTTATCACACCTTACAGTTCCAGTCTGCATTGGTTTTATTTCATCCAGTAGTTGGACAAACTCCCAGTTTTATTGCCCACGATAAATGAACTAACAGTCTGTGAGTATCTGGACTGAAGTTGAACCCGGTCCGGTTGCTGCTAGACAGCAACTTGAGAGCTCCTGCGATATTTGCTTCCTCCTCTGTCTGTTTCAGTGTCACAGTGACATGGCAGCCAGTGTGACACGGCTCCGCTATGAATCAGCCCCAAAAAACATTTCACTCATTTAACTGAAGGCATAAAGGTCAAGACAATAAAATTACCCTGCCATCTTTCATTCTCTCTCCCCATATCCTCCTGGTCTCTCCAATTCACACTCTTTTATTTCTCTCTGTCACTTCTCTCCACCATTCTATTCTTTATTTTTCTACACCTCTTAGTAAAGAAATTGCTCTCTCCAAAATGAAATTGTTGCAAATGACCCACTGTTCAAGTAAATGGAAAGGGTGAAAAGGCAATAAGCAAATGGCAGAAATACGGAAAAGGGGGGGGAAATAAAATAAAAGAAATTTGTAGGTAGAAATTGGTTTGTTACGTACATGTAATATGTTCCCAACACCTTCAACAGCTCTGCTCAGTCATTGATTGCTTTATTCAAGTATTGTCTGCATCAATATTTACTGCACATCTATCTCTGTAAGTAGCATCATTAATAACTCTCTTTAGTAAAGATTTAAACTTGTTACATTGAACTTGTTCCCAGTTTACACTCTTATGTCATTGGCTGCAAACAGAGATAAGGTTGTGTATCAATAAACTTGCTTTTCATTGACTTATCAATAATTACTGATGCTGAAGTGACAACTGGAGAATAAATTTACCTGATAAAAACAAAAAATCTGTTTCAAGACATATTTCTTGTTATGGAAAAAATGCTTGCTAAAAAATTGTTTATTGTTTGGAAGTTACTAGTGGCTGCAGGGCCTGTAAGCAGCAGCTCAGTTTGCTCTTATCCAACTTTGGCACTTTGAAACCAAGAGAAACTTTACATGTTTGCTTTCTTTCAGAGTGTTAGACGAGAAGTTCGATAACACTGCCATGTCTCCCATGTACTCAAAATATGAAGCTACAGCCAGCAGCTAGTTAGCTAAGCCTAGCAAAAAGACTGGAAGCAGACGAAAACAGCTGGCCTGGTTCTCTAAATAGGTAAAAAAAAATCTGCCCTTCAGCACTGCTTAAGTCCACAAATTTACACATTGCATCTTGTTTAGTGTAGTGTGTACAAAAAGATGTTGCTACATTTATTAGTGCTTTCATTCTAAGCGCCATTCTAACCGCTCATTCAACCAGTCAAGCACACATCGATTGCAGCAAGCTACCACGCAGGGTGCTGGCCAGCCGTCAGGGGGAATTTGGTGCTGAAGGATGGGTCAACATGTGGAGATGGGGATCAAATAGCCTCTCTGTGATCAGCAATCTAAGATGGCGGCAGATTTTTTTGGTTGACTAACTGTCCAGGGACTACAGATGAAAAAAAGTCTTTTGGCTAACTCTGGCGCATTTACTTTGATGTTTTATTAATGTGCACTGTCCCTGATAAATTAAACTAATTTAAAAAAGGAGACAACCCACTCTACCTCCTGAGCGACAGCTGCCCCCGTGTTTTTATGTGGGGAGATGTGTGTCATTATTTCTTGGCTGGTCACAGTAACTTCCTGAAGGCTCCACTCAACCTCATGATGACGACAAGACTGTATTACATTGATGCTAGATATAATTTGTTAGTTAGCATGAGCAAGGCAGATGTTGTTACCTGCGGACAGAGCCGGGCTAGGCGTTTACCTCAGCTTCCAGTCTTTGTGCTACGCTAAGCTAACTGTCTCCTGCTGTTAGCTTCACATTCAGACATGTGAATGATATTAATCTTCTCATCTAACGAAAACGATTAACCAGATTTCAAGGTCAAAATATTTCTTTAACCACGATCAATGATTTGACACATGGTCAAAGATACTGTCCATAAATGCTTCAGCTGGCATGTTTCATGTGAATGAATACCTAATTGTGCCTGATTTTATAAGGAACAAGCAGTTCTGATCTTTGATGCTTTAAAATATATCTGAGGATGTTAGATGTCTTATAGTGTCTACAAAGGCCCCGTTCTCTTCTATGCCCCCCTGGGAACTGTGCCATGTGTTTGGTACCATAAGAAAATCAGTGGGTGTGCCTTTGACTTCCTACATGTGCAAATTAATAATTGTGCTTGTAGTGAGAATAAGAATTTAGCGTGTATTAAAAAAAGAGAAGAATGGACAGTTTTGTTTGTTTCTATGTAAATGGCATGTTGTGGGTTCAGTGTAGTCAGACACTATATAAAGTTTGTGTGGGCAAGGGGTGTCATGGCAGCATGTGGTTAACAATGAGTGTCACACTGTGCGTGCGTGGACGTATATCATCTCTGCTACATAGTATGCATGTGTGGGCACGGACATATGTATGAGGAAGGTGAAAGCATTTCATTCCACAGCACGCAGTTCTGTTGTGTGTAGGTGTATGCGTATGGCTAAGGTAACTGACCGTGAAGCCTCACCAGAGGACTTAATTTAAATGTGAAGGATTTAACATTAACACCACAAGGCTGAAGTGGCCAACCCCACTCTGTGATGGAGTGGCTCCACCCACACCTCCAACTTAATGAAATGCTGCTCTTGCATCCTTTTTCACACTGATCAATGTGGGTAACAAAAGGCAATGATGTTAGTAGTGCTGAGAAGTGTTGTCAGACACGATGTGAACAGTTAAACCTTCTTAGTTGAAATCATCATAAAGCTCCCATCAAGCAGAACTAAAACATGATTAACACACTGACTGAAAGTGTTTTCTAGGTGAAGCATGAGGAGCCGAATGGCTTTCAAACAGCATGTTAATATATAAATTAAAGGCAATTTAGTCGCAGATGCTCATCGGGTATTTAACAGCTTTGAACATGAACTGGGGACCGGAGCGAATGGTTTCATAAATTACATTAGTTATTACACTTACATTAATTCAGTGATTCATTCAGAGTTTAAATTTGCATAAATGCAGTGTTAACCTCAACAAAATAAAGGAATGATCAGGCACAAAGGAAGGGCGTTTTGTCTATGTAGTAGGGAGTGAGGAACTGTGCATGGAATACAAAGAAGGGAAACACAAATGGAGGCATGTTTATTATGCTCACACACACACTGTATACCTGTAAACGCAAAAACTCACACACAAGTATCTGCACTTGAAGGTTTTTTTTCAAGCAAAAATACAAAATATTCTGTGTTTTTCCAGCTTCTCAAATGTGATGATGTGCTGCTTTTCTCTTTGTTGTGTGATTATAAATGTTTTTTAGATAAAACAATATATTAAAAGACATCACACTGGGCCCTGGGAAAATGTAATGTTTTTTGCATTTTTATAACACTGTATAGACCAAATAGAAAATCGATTAATCATGAAAATAACTGAATTGGCATGTATACAGGTTCATGGAATGAATGTCTGTTATATGTGTGTATATGAAGCAGAATCCTGAGCTAGCGTGTGTATTGTGTGTTGCACAAGTTACTAAACCACACAAGTTGGAATTACGGAGACCAACAGCAAGGGAAACCAAAAAGGCATGACAGAAGAACTGTGATGGAGAGAGAGAGGAAACCAAGCAAGCAGGGAACAAATCTGTGGGTGCCAATATAGCAGAACTGAAAGTCACTTGAGTTTTAATTTCCTGCCAGTGGAAGCGAGAACAATATCAAGATTGAAACACGAGTTTCAATGAGTCACTCTTAGAGGGAGCTCAGTGGGCTCAGGCTGTTAACATTCATAGCAGCTTCCCTCCGTCTCTGTCGCTCTGCTCCTCTATTTTCTGTTATTGCATAGACTCGCACGCTTATATACACGCACACCATCACATAAACGCAATAACATGCGCACACTAATGCCACACTTCCACACATTGTAATGTCACTAATGAGACTGCGTGACTAATACCTCTTCAGTCCTGTCTTCAGATGAGTGCTTATTATGGTCTGTCAAAGAGATGAGTCAGTCTATGTCATGGTTACTATGGTGATCAAAGCCTCCAGCACTTCCCTTAAGTGCCCGCTGGCTAAAATAAGCTCTAACCCCTTTAACTACAGACCTCTCAGGATACAATGACATCAACACACACACACACACACACACACACACATACAAATGG